AAAGGCAGAAACAAAACAAACTGCATTTTTCACTCATTATTTGACCTTCCCGTTAAGTGTAAAGCATAGGCCACTATTGAGAATGTTTCTCCCAAACTGCAAGTATGCCACAAGTAATTTAGAACAAAATGCAACATGTGTTATTTTTTTATGTGATATCCTATGTCCAGCTATGTGCACTGCTTACACTTGCAAATAGCTTTAAGAGGCCTGACATGCAAGTCTCTTAAGATTTACACGAAGGCATATACCGTATTTTTTGCCCTATAGGACGCACTTTTTCCCCTCCAAAAATGAAGGGGAAATATGGGTGCGTCCTATGGGGCAAATACAGGGTTTTGCTGAAGCCTGGAGAGCAAGAGGCTCTCGCTCTCCAGGCTTCAGGAAGCTCTGCGCAAACCTCCGGAGCCCGGCGCCTCCAAAGGGTCGCGCCGAACTGCCTGCATTAGGAAGCCTCAGCGCGCCCGGGCTTCGCACAGCTGTCCGCAAGCCTAGGGAGACCGGCGCAGCTCCCTAGGCTTGCGGATAGCAGGATCTTCTGGGGGCTGGGGTCAGGGAAGCTCGAGCTTCCCCCGCGCCAGCCCCGTGCCTGGGGGGGAAATTTTTTTTTCTTTATTTCCCCCCCCCCCAAAAAAAAAACTAGGTGCGTCCTATAGGACGGTGCGTCCTATGGGGCGAAAAATACGGTAAATGAACCAAGCAAACACATGTATTTTATGGGGGGGCAAAGACCCCTAGTAATTTAAGAGTGGCTGTATTCCCTACACCCACAAGTCTCAGAATACTTAGAACATAAAAACACAACATAAAAACACAAAACATCACGTGTTAAAATAGCATTAGATGTCAATAAGAAAAAGGCCTGATTAAAAAGGTGTGGATTTACCTGGCTCCTAAAGCTGTATAACGGTTTTTGTATGGATTCTTTGGTGGGAAGTGAGTTTAGAGCTAACAGTGAAGCTCTTTCCACATTCCACACACCGATAGGGTTTCTCCCCTGTATGAATTATTTGATGGGAAGTAAGATCGGAGTTTCTAATGAAGCTCTTTCCACATTCTACGCACAGATAGGGTTTCTCCCCTGTATGAATTCTTTGATGGGAAGTGAGATGGGAGCTATCAGTGAAGCTCTTTCCACATCCACACACTGATAGGGTTTCTCCCCTGTATGAATTCTTTGATGGGAAGTGAGATGGGAGCTCTGACTGAAGCGCTTTCCACATTCCACACACTGATAGGGCTTATCCCCTGTATGAATTCTTTGATGGGAAGTGAGATAGGAGCTATCAGTGAAGCTCTTTCCACATTCCACACACTGATAGGGTTTCTCCCCTGTATGAATTCTTTGATGGGAAGTGAGATGGGAGCTATGAGTGAAGCTCTTTCCACATTCCACACACTGATAGGGTTTCTCCCCTGTATGAATTCTTTGATGGGAAGTGAGATTGGAGCTCCGACTGAAGCGCTTTCCACATTCCACACACTGATAGGGTTTCTCCCCTGTATGAATTCTTTGATGGGAAGTGAGATTGGAGCTCTGACTGAAGCTCTTTCCACATTCCATACACTGATAGGGTTTCTCCCCTGTATGAATTCTTTGATGGTTAGTGAGAGTGGAGCTATTAGTGAAGCTCTTTCCACATTCCACACACTGATAGGGTTTCTCCCCTATATGAATTCTTTGATGAGAAATGAGATCGGAGCTCTTTCTGAAGCTCTTTCCACATTCCACACACTGATAGGGCTTCTCCCCTGTATGAATTCTTTGATGGGAAGTGAGAGAGGAGCTATGAGTGAAGCTCTTTCCACATTCCATACACTGATAGGGTTTCTCTCCTGTATGAATTCTTTGATGGGAAGTGAGAGAGGAGCTATGAGTGAAGCTCTTTCCACATCCCATGCACTGATAGAGTTTCTTTCCAATGAGATTTTGTTGATGGGAAGTGGAATTGGAGCTCTGACTGCAGCTTTCTCCACACTCCAAATTTTTTTGTGGCTTCTCCTCTCTGGGGATTTTTTTGTGGTCACCTTTGTTCTCGATTTCCAATTCATCACAATCTGCATTGGGGAGAAAAAGGGATTAGAGCCTCAGGAAGCAAATGGAGAAGAACTGAAGGGAGTTGCGTGTGTGTTCATTACCTGTGTTGTTTGTTTAATATGAGATTCGGATGAGTTGTTGAATGTTGCTTTGTTTATATAAAGCAGTGGTCAAAATTGTGAAAAGACTTTTGGAAAAAAGTGTATTTCAGAGTTTTGATGGCTTATAACACCGCTTCATTTGGAGTAATGTCATAAAATTATATATCAATGGAAAGATAATTCGATCAAGAATGCAATCCAACAAAGTTTGTTCAATTACCCGTATTCTATCAAACGTTATAGCCAAATAACCTGAAAAAGGAAGCACAACTTGCATTAGTTGACTTTTGTCAGTGTGTTATGTAATTGCTATCAAGTTGGTTGGTTTTTTGTGTTCTTTCATTTAGTGAGGGTGTAAGACATAATAAAATTATAGAAATGGCACAAGGAGTTGAGTGGTCCCCAGAAAGTGATGTAAGATTGTACTATTAAGTGAGCAAGGCTACAGTTATGAAGAAATTAGAAGAGAGATTGGGGAAAACTTAACCAAAGTTGGCCTTTATATATTTTTGAAGAGGTATAAGGAGACTCAGGGACGTGGGTGGCGCTGTGGGTAAAAGACTCAGCGCCTAGGGCTTGCCGATCGAAAGGTCGACGGTTCGAATCCCCGCAGCGGGGTGCGCTCCCGTTGTTCGGTCCCAGTGCTTGCCAACCTAGCAGTTCGAAAGCACTCCCGGGTGCAAGTAGATAAATAGGGACCGCTTACTAGCGGGAAGGTAAACAGTGTTTCCGTGTGCGGCTCTGGCTCGCCAGAGCAGCGATGTCACACTGGCCACGTGACCCGGAAGTGTCTCCGGACAGCGCTGGCCCCCAGCCTCTTGAGTGAGATGGGCGCACAACCCTAGAGTCTGTCAAGACTGGCCCGTACGGGCAGGGGTACCTTTACCTTTTTATAAGGAGACTCAGTCACTACAAAAGTGACGATGGACGAGTGGAGAGACTGTGCCTACATGACAGGAGAAAATCATCTGTGTGTATACAAGATGACATGGCGCAATGTAATGGGAAGTTGAGTGCAAGGACTGGTCGAAATGTTAGAATTCTAAGAAAAAGCCATTGTTATCTCTCCTGCAAAGGTTGAAAAGATGAAACCCATGTTAACTGGACAGTGGAACAATGGGGCGGTGTTATTTGGAGCGATGAGACCCAAATCTCCTTGCTTGGTAGTGATGGCATGAAATACCCGAGAAGAATCAGAGAAGATTTACATCCTACTTGCATTACACCAACTGTGAAACACCCAGACAGTGTGATGATCTGGGGTTGTATCGCAGCAAAAGGTGTGGGCAGAATTTGCGTCATTAATGAGAATATAAATGCGGGAAAATGCATAAACGAAATACGTGAGCCCAAACTGAAGTGTTCCGCAGGTGATCTTTTCCCAGATACCGAAGCATTTATATATTTTCAACAGGATTCAGCTTTATGTCGTGTTGGTGCTGTGTGCAAAAGGTGCTTTCAAGATAATGATATTTCACTGCTGGAATGGCCTGGGAATAATAATAATAATAATAATAATAATAATAATAAATTTTATTTATATCCTGCCCTCCCCTGCCGAAGCCGGGCTCAGGGCGGAAATCTCTGGAGCCGACTAAAGAAACTTGTTAATCAAAGGCAACCCAGCAATAAAGCCCAATTAGCAGAGGCAATAATTCAGTCCTGGTTTCCCACTATTACAGCTGCAGAACTAAAAACTTGGTTCACTTCAAGTGAAGGCGTTGTAAGGCCGTAATTAAAGCTAAAGGTTACCAATGGTCACCAAAGGTTTCACGTTTTTTCTTTATGACTGCTGTTCTAATAAATACTCCTTCATAAAAGTCATCGCATTACATTCTTCATTAAATTATCTTTCCATTGCTATATAATTTTATGGGATTACTCCACACAAAAGTGGTGTTATGAGCCATCAAACCTCAGAAATACACTTTTCACAAAAGGTTTCCACAATTTCGGCCACTAGGAGAAGTTGTTCATTTTAAAGTTAATGTTCTTTTATATGGAATCAGATTATTATTATTTATGTTTCATGTTTATATGTGTGTTGGAAGCCGCCCAGAGTGGCTGGGGCAACCCAGCCTGATGGGCAGGGTATAAATATAAATTATTATTATTACTACAGTGGTACCTTGATTTAAGAACAGTCCTGTTCCAGAAAAGATTAAGTTTGTAAACCGAGGTACTACTGTATCATCATCATCATCATCACCACCACTGCTACTTCTACCTGAAATTCAATAAGCCTAGCTCTTCTCTGGGATGAATTTTGTTTGGCCCAGTCATGGCATCCCCTCCATCTCCAATGTCACTCGTCTCTTTGGTCAACCCAAGACTGACAGGAGCAAAAACAAAAGCAGAAAACCTGAAGCTACTTATCTTTCCTAACAATTCTGAAGCTGACATTTAAGATGGCCTGGGCAGTTGAGACCAGCCCAATCGTGGTAGAAAAAGGAATAATCTGAGGAAGATTGTTCAAAGAAAAAACTGTAAGTTACTCTTTATTGTGGGGTGTTAGGTTCCCAGGTGTTATAGGGGGCGCTGTTGAGCTCTGTGAAAATATATGACGTTGGTCACATAGAGCAGTGTTCCCCAACCTTGGGCCTCCAGCTGTTTTTGGACTACAACTCCCATCATCCCTCACTAGCAAGACCAGTGGTCAAGGATGATGGGAATTGCAGTCCAAAAACAGCTGGAGGCCCAAGGTTGGGGAACACTGACATAGAGGTATTTTTTGAATTTCCAGGCAGATAGGACGATCCCACAGGGAGCCTTACCAAGAGAGGCCACGATCCCACGATTCTCCTCCATGACGTCCTTATGCAGAGCTCTCTGGTCAGGATCCAGCAACGCCCACTCCTTGTCCGTGAAACGAACAGCGACATCTTCAAAGCACACTGGACCCTAAAAGAAAAAGGGAAATGTCCTCCTCTGAGACAGCAGAAATATGATCTACTCCACAATGCTCTGTTGTTTCCTTCCTGTAAATTGCAGTGTTGTTTAAATAGGATTGCTTTGCTGCACATTTTAATTATGGGTGCTTATTTTATTCTAAGTTTAAATTATGGGTATTCGTTTTTGTGCAAATAAGTTGTACTCCACCTTGTGTTATTAAAGTCATTCTGCCTAGGCAAGCGTTCCAGTTTCCCCAATGGAAGGATCCACTTTCTCCTCTCCTCCTGGGCTGTTCTGGGGAGTTCCCTCCCAATGCCCTAGAGCCAAATTCAAGGGATTCATGGAGGAATGGGGAGGGGGAGGAATGGGAGGCAGGCCCCATTTTGCAGCCGATGGGGCTGGTTAGGTGAATCCAGGCCACTTTTTGTTCTCATTTGTCCACTGCTTAGAAAACAATTTTAGCATTCAGTGATCAATCTAGAAATAAAATAATAATAATAATAATAATAATAATAATAATAATAATTTTTATTTATATCCCGCCCTCCCCAGCCGAAGCTGGGCTCAGGGCGGCTAACAACAATCAAAATAGCAAAGTTAAAAAACATTCATTATAAAATTAACTAAATCAAATTAAAATCAAATTTATGGCAACCATCAAGCAAAATTCTGTGCAGATTGCCGAAGGAGGGGGTCAGGCTGCACCCTGACCAAAGGCCTGGTGGAACAGCTCTGTCTTGCAGGCCCTGCGGAAAGATGTCAGGTGGCTAGGTCACAGTGGCTAGGTCAGGGCGAGAGAGATAAGGAGCCAACTGCTTAGCTTGGTGGAATTGAAAAAATGCCGCCTTTGTTATAGCTGTAATCCGCGCCTCCATAGAGAGGGAGGTATCGAAGATTACACCCAAACTCTTAACGGACTATGCTGGCACTAATTGCACCCCCGCAAGAGATGGGAGTTGCCCCCTCAATCCCATATCGCTCCGTCCCAGCCAGAGGACCTCTGTCTTCGAAGGATTTAACTTCAACCGGCTTCCAGACATCTGGTCAGTGTATCTGGGGCCGAGTCAGGATGGCCGTCCATCAACAGATAGAGTTGGGTGTCATCGGCATACTGATGGCAACCCAGCCCAAAACTCCAGACAAGCTGGGCGAGGGGGCGCATAAAGATGTTAAAAAGCATCAGGGAGAGAATCGCACCCTGAGGCACTCCACACACCAAGGAGTGGCGCGATGACAATTCCCCCCCCAAGCACCACCCTCTGTCCCCGACCAGAGAGAAATGAGTGCAGCCATTGAAGGACTGTGCCCTGGATCCCCACGTCGGCAAGGCGGTGGTCCAGGAGTTCGTGATCGACCATGTCAAAGGCTGCTGACAGGTCTAGAAGAATCAGCAGCCCCGACCCGCCTCGATCCAGCTGCCTGCGGAGATCATCTCTTAGGGCGACCAGAGCCGTCTCGGTCCCATGACCAGCACGGAAGCCGGACTGGAATGGATCGAGAGCCGATGTTTCATCCAGAAACCTACCAAGCTGTTCAGCAACCGCTCTCTCAATCACCTTACCCAGGAATGGAAGATTCGAAACCGGGCGGTAATTGGATAGATCTAAAGGATCTAATGATGTTTTCTTTAAGAGCGGACGCACCACTGCCTCCTTCAGTTCCCCTGGGAATATCCTGGTGCCAAGGGACAAATTGATGATATCACCCAGGGGGGCCCGCACCTCGTCTGGACACGCTCTAATCAGCCAAGACGGGCACGGGTCAAGAGGACAGGTCGTGGGCTTTCCAGCTTGGGGGAGTCTGTCCACATCAGCTGGGGATATCCGGTCAAAGTGGTCCAACACTGGACCCGAGGACAGTCGAGGGGCCTCCAGTTCCTTTATTGTATCCAAATTGGCAGGGAGGTCATGGCGGAGCAACAGGACCTTCTCCGCAAAAAAGCTCGCAAATGCCTCACAGCTGTGTGTCAGATTGTTATTTAAATTTGGCTGTCCTTCAAGGGACGTTAAAGACCTAATTATACTAAATAATTGCGCCGGGCGAGAGCTAGCGGAGGCAATGGAGGCCGAGAAGTAGGACTTCTTAGCGGCCTTCACTGCCATCTCGTAGGTTTTCATAAAAACCCTATAAGATGTTCTTGAGGCTCCGTCACGGGCACCCCGCCATACTCACTCTAGCCGTCTGAGGTCCCGCTTCATTTTCTGAAGCTCCTCGGTAAACCAGGGAGCCCAGTTTCTGTGGGGTCACAGAGGGCACCTAGGTGCGATCTCATCGATGGCTGCTAGGAGCTGGATATTCCCGCCCTCAACAAGCTCAGTCAATGAGTCGCCAGGGGGAGCAAGGTCCCGCAAGGCCTGACGGAATCTATCAGGGTCCATCAGCCTCTGCGGGCGAGCCCAAATTGGCTGGCCACCTAAGCAGGGTGGGGGTGGAAAATCAATCCTGGCTTTCAGTGCGTAGTGATCAGACCATGGCACCTTCATCGAAGGAGACATGATCACATCTATACCGGCGCCAAAGATCAAATCCAGCGTGTGGCCTGCTTGATGTATGGGGCCCGAAACAAACTGGGAGAGCCCTAGTGTCGCCATGGAAGACACCAGGTCCAGAGCCTGTGAGGAGGGAGTGGCATCAGCATGGAAGTTGAAGTCTCCCAATACCAATAGGTTAGGGAACTCCAAGGCCTAGCCGGCCACCGCCTCCAGCAGGCCTGACAGGGTGGCTGCTGGTGCGCTAGGTGGCCGGTACACCAGCCAGACAGCCAAGCTCACCTCGGAGCCCCACACTAGGCCAACACATTCAATGCCGGGGATCGATGGCGATGGTAGAGCCCTGAAAGAACAGTCTTCTCGGATTAATAATGCCACCCTTCCCCCCCGGCCCACAGTCCGCGACTGGTGGAGGACGGAGAAACCCGGGGGCACCATCTCTCGCAAGGTAACAGTTTCCCCTTCGCGCACCCAGGTCTCCGTCACACAAGCCAGGTCAACCCCGTGCGAGGTGAAGAAGTCTCGCAGGGTGGCGGTTTTGTTGCCTATAGACCTGGCATTGCACAACACCAGTGACGGAGGTGAGTAATCCTTGCTCACCCTACCCTCATTCCTCTGGATGGGGCGCAGATTGGAAGGGGTACAAGCATATCCGTATCTCGATCCCCTTCACCTATGACATCTGCCCCCACCGCCATACCTCCCTCGCCCCACTACGGTAGCAATCCCAAGCCTCAAGCCAACCTCCATTTACAAAACAGAAAACAAATCAAACCAAAAACAATTGTACCAACAAAACAAATCACCACCCCACTTAATATCCAACCCCAAACCAAAATAAAACGGAACAAAATAATATACATCAATAAAAACCACCGTTCACGGTGGTACAACAAAGTAAAAAGTAAAAACCCCTATAAAACATTTTTAAAAATATAAAAACATTTTAAAAACATTTTAAAAACACAATAAGCCTCTTTTGAATGGCCATCTGTCTTGGATGATCTAGCAGAGATTCCTGCAATGCAGGGGGTCTCCTGGATCTGAGAGACAAGCAGGGAGGGTGTCTTCTGGCAGAAGGAGAGGGAGCCACCGGTGGCTCCTCCTTCTCCTGACTCACCTCTGCCACTCAACCTCCTTCCTCCCACTCGCCTCCTTTCTCTTCTGCCTCTGATTCTGCACTGCATTCTGCCACAGAGTCTCCCAGCTCACTAAGCCCTGTTTCCCCTTCAGCCTCTGACACCTCCTCTTCCCAGGCTTCTCCCTCTTGCCCCTCTGACTGCTCATCCTTCCTCCACCTCCACTTCTTGGGCTCTGAGCCGTCTTCCCTTCCTGGTTCCCCGGCTGCTTCCTCCCACCACTCCTCTGTGCCCAACCAGTCCATGACATTGCTCCATCCCTCGGCCTCTGTCCCCACAAGGCAGCTTCCCCTGACCTGATCTGGTTCCACAGCCGTTGCTTCCCTTCTGCCCCGATGGAAAGGCAGATCAGGAGGTCTTGCCGGCATCCTTCTGCCACCTGCAAGAGAAAAAAGGTAAGCAGGACGCCAGGAGTGCCTGCTTCTCTCACAGGGGAAACAGAGCATCTCTAACTACAGATGGGCCTTTGAGAAAGCCTCACCTGCTGAGAGCATTTAGACGTTTGTGCCCATTTCATATGTTTGTTTGTGCAGAAATACATCTCCCCTACTCTGGACCCTTCTTCCCAACCATCTATCCCCAAAACAAGATGAAAAAACCCTCAGATGAGTTGGAAAACCAACAGAATGAGACCTGTGGAGAAAAACCACCTTCCTCCTTACCCAGTGGCCTCTCTCTGGTGTCCAATGGAGGCCTCTCTGCCTCACAGGAATCCAGGTCCATTTCTGCAAAGAGATCCTTTCCCTGAAAAAAAAACAAGGATTCAAAACAGAGAATGGTGAGAAATGCTAGAAAGAGAATAACAAAGACTTGAAGGGTGTGAGATCTCTTTCCATGGATGCTTTCCCAGAAAAAGGATGGGCCATCAGCAGACCATTATGGGATGTTCTCTGTCCTGTTTGGAACCCCTTGGGAGTATCCAGAGGGAAGTCTCTCTCACCTGCTTTCTCTCTGCCTGCTTCCTCTCCTCTGCCTGACTCAGGAGGAAACCTTCGGCCAGGGCCACCGCCTGCGAACTGGTCTCCGCTCCGCATTCCCTCACCCAGCTCTCCATCTCCAGGGGAAGGACAGCCAGGAACTGCTCCAAGATCACCAGGTCCAGCATCTCAGCTTTCGTGTGCCTTTCTGGCTTCAGCCACTGATGGTCAAGGTGGTAGAGTCGGCTGCAAACCTCTCGGGGTCCTTTGCCCTCCTGGCAGCAGAACTGCCTCAACTGCTGGCTCTGCACCTCTGAGCGGAGGGTGTCCTCCTCACCCAGGATCTTGTGCACAGAGTTTTCCCAGAATCCCCCACTGCTTCCAGTTTGGTTGGCATGGCCTCTTCCTGTTCCAGGGCCAGCTGAGTCTTGCTCATCCATCTGTGCTCTCAGGAAGCCTCTGAGAGATCGGAAGGAACCCTTTGGTCTTCTGCCAAGTTCTGTCCGTCTTAATGAGAAGCTCTAGCAAATCCTCCAAAGCAAATGCATTGTTCTGTTACAAAATATGTAGGACAGGGGGGGGAAATGGTTCCCTGAGGAAGCATGATGCTCCTTGCTAGGAACAAGAGGAGGAGGAAGAGGAGAAGAAATAAGTCTCTAGCCTTCTCACAATGCAGAATGTGGAGGCAACGGAAGGGATTTCTGGGAGATGAATCAACATGGTTTCTCCATCCTTCCAGTCAATGCATGAAGTCAGAACCGAATGACAAGGGAGTCATTTGTATCTTGTGATGAATGGATGCTTTTCTCTAGTGGAGGTCCTGACCTGGGGGACCTCAGGAGTTGCTCCCCTGCCCCAGCCCCACCCTCACCCCACTTCCACTCCTGGCTTCTGTCTCCTTTTCTGCAATCTCTGCCGCTGTCCAGACAGATTTGTGGGGTGAGATCTCTTTTTCTCTCTTCCGAGGGCCAGGAATGTATCTGGCCAACCCCCAGAGGGCCAAGTGGGCGGAGCCAAAGACATCTCCCTTGATTTTTTGTTTTGTTGTTCTATTAGATAGCTTAACACAAACTGGTTTGCAATGCAGCAGCCAGACTATGGGCTGGGATCCCTCTCTTTATTCCTGGCCTTCCTCTCACACCTTAACTTCCTCCCTCCCTGTGGGGTTTTTTTTTGGGGGGGGGGCCTAGTCCACCTCCTCCTCCATTTGCAAACCATTGGAAAACCATTTGCACATGTTTCCTTTGTAGTGCAATGACGGCTGAGTGATGTCACACAGATTTAAAGTCCCAGGGACTCCTTTGTTTTAAAAGGGGAGATTTCGTGGGAGTCAGGGATCCTCTGATCTGCAGCAAGGAGAGTGTTGCAGACCTGGCCCCTCCCTGGCAGGACCCTCTCCTCCCTGACTTGGGGTCCCCCCCTCCGGCTGAGCAGATCAGACCCCCCAGGCACCCTCCCCTGCTGCAGCCATGGGACCCCCACCAGATCCCAGAGAGAAAGGAGACTCACCAGATCCCAGGAGGGGAGAGCGATGCAGCCCTTGCAGCAGAGACACAAAGCAACACCCCCCTTCCTTGCAGGAAAGGACTGGGGAGGGAGGGGCCTTGGCTCTGGAGGACCTGGTCCCCCCCTTGCTTCCTGTCCTCTCTAGGAAGGCAGCTCAATTCCCTTTAACCCTTGCCAAGCCAAGTCCCTCCAGCTCAGCCCTCTCTCAGATTCTTATTATTTCTTATGCATTTAGGGGGGCAGCTGCCCCCCTGGCTCCGCCAATGCCCAGATATCCTTTTGGGGGTGAGGCTCTTGGCTGGACTCTGAACATCTCCCTCCCTTGGCCAGAAACCAGAGGAAGAGCTTGCAGGGAAAAGGGCTTTGCAGGAGGCAAGGAAGCTGCTCCTAGAATTCCGGAGTGGAGAGATAGGAGGGGATCCCAGGGTCATCTAGTCCAACCCCCAGCAATGCAGGAATCTCAGCTAAAGCATCCATGGCAGATGGCCGTCCGATCTCTGCTGAGAAACCTCCAAGGAAGGAGAGTCCACCACCTCCCAAGGGAGACCTTTCCCCTGCCCAACTGCTCTTAGATGTCCCTCAAGGCAGCGGGTCCTGAGTTCTAGCCCTGCTGAAACCATTGCACTGGCTGCCAAGGAGGAACCCAGCGAAGTTCAAAATTGTTACCGGAAAATCCGAGGGTTCTCTTGGGCAAATGAAGACCAGAGCAATTTAGAGCAAAACAGCAGCCAGTAGGCTCGGTTTTTATTCAGAAGGAAAACTGTCGCGACAGGACTCCCACCGCCCACCAAGTGAAGCACGATGGAAGCCCCGAACAAAGGACGACCCTAACTTTTATAAGTTGTTAATCCCCTACGCTACACCCCCAAAATTACATCATATGTACATCACGATTATATTAAAGTTAGGAGGAGTCGAGGAGGGGCTACACAGGTAATTTGAGTGTCCTGACACCTGGCCGGAGCCTCCTCTCCCCTCCCCACATGGGTCATTTCCAAGAACAAAGGAGAAGGGTGAAGTTTTCCTGCCCCCTGAGGGGAATCCGGTCAGAGTCCTTTGTGAGGGTCCAAGCGGAATACACTGAAACATGCAGGCTATTGTGTTCCTGATAGCCGTCTGTCTGACCCCATCACGATGGCTATAAAGGTTGTCACGTCAGCAGAGAAGGGCCGCAGAGTACGTGACCGCTCGGTCAAGGGATTATGGCTGCCCCGCATCGAGTCACCCCCCTTTGATAGTCCTTGTAACATGTAGCAAAATAAAACTGGTCCGCTGAAAATCCGAGGTACGACTGATTTTTGGTGAATTTATAAAGAATATTGTCCTTGAAGTTCAAAGTACTTTTGCCTTTCGGAAGTAACTTGCTACATTTTGATTAAATCAGTCACGGTCAATTGAACTCGGAAACAATGTATTGAGAACTGTCAGAAGGTGAGGGAACAGACGCTTGCAGCCTGCAGTACCAGCGTGGCCGCCGCTAGGGGCACTGTTCGACAATGTTGATTGGCTGAGGCGGCCGCCGTTCGACCTAGAGTTCAGTCGGCCGGTCTACTCACAATAAAGATAGGACGATGCGGAGCGCTATAGCGGAAAGCTGTCAAGTTAGCGCTTCCTTATTTACGGAAGGCTTTTAAGAGATGGCCCTCTAAAGGGACATCTCGAGGGTCAGGGAGGGGAGATGCGTGTATGTGTGGATGTGGTGCTTGTGCAATACACGTGTTAATGGAGGGGGGGGATTTCCGGCGACAGTTCCCCCCTTCGGAGATAAGATTGCAAAGGTAGGGAAACCGCGCAATCCTTCTCTCCGCACAAATCAATAAAAGTTTGACATGTCATACCTAGAGTCCAGATTTTGGAAGTCCTTCAAGGGCCCCATTTCGATGGGGTTCGACTGGGTTCCTGGTGCTGGTGGTCTATAGGTGATAGTCGATCGCGGGCGAAGGGTTGGAAGGCAAGAGTCGCAAGTTTGACAGCACATCGGGAAGCAGTGGATTGTGCAGCAGAAGACAGCAATGCAGATGGTCACAGTGATGAGGATCAGAAGTCCGTTCCCTAGGAGTTGTTTTATCCAGCCAGACCCAGGCAGCCAGCTCCACAACTGGGTATCTGACAATCCTTCATGTTGGATGTCTTTAAGCCCGTCCGTTAGTTTATGGATGTTGTTAAGGTGTCCGGTAATATTAAGGGTTTGATCGGATACGTGTGTGCAGCACTCGGTTCCGACAAGGGCGCAAACGCCTCCTGTCGAGGCGAGAACATAGTCCAAAGCAAGGCGGTTCTGTATCGAAGTCTGCCTGACTTCCGTTAATTCTGTCAGGATAGCTTGGGTGGCTGCATTGGACTCTTCCATGAAGTTTAATAGGATGTCCGTTAATTTAAGGATATCGACGTGGTTGGAGCCGGCTCCATACGCGGGGAAAAGGGCCCGGCCATAAGTTTCGCTATTGGCTGCTACATCGGAGAGTTGTGATAAGTCTTTTGCCCTCTTATTGCGTCTCCTTCTGGAGGGTAGATCTTGGGTGACCCGGACTCCAGGCAAAATTAGACCGAGATAACAAGTGCCACGGGAGTGGGGGCTGGCCCATACATAGCCGCGGTGGCCACAAACCCAGAACAACCCCTGTAGGCACGAGTCTATGTGCCCGGTGAGGAAGGTACGGAAGAAACACTGGGAGACCGGGGAGGGGCTCCAGGAGTCGGGTAAGGTCATAACGCGTTTCCATGCAGACATCAAGCTGGGTTGGATAGAGGGGTTGCCTTGGTGCCATAGGGTAATCCTCCCGTTTAAAGCAATGTCAATGGTGTACTTACAGGTGCTCTTGCCGATGACCTTGTCGTTCCCGCTGAATTTCCGGCAAAGGTCGCCTGTTGTGGGTCCAGTTAGGTAGATG